TTAATATGGTGCAACTTTTTCTCCGAAATTCTCAACCAAAATTTTACCCCAAAAATGGGTCATTTTGGCTTTTTCAATTAATCAAGAATTACACTGAAACTACTTTGTTAATTGATGACAAATAAAAATCACAAGAAGCCTCATACACAGCTCAACAAAGTTCTAGAAAGGTTAAATCTCCAAAATTTGAGTAAATTGGTTAAAATTTGTTTTTAAGCAAAGATTTTGGGTTTTATATAGTAAAAATCACATTTCTTGACTATCAAGCAAAAATCTCTTATACAGGTTGCTTAGAATGTCATCAGAATTAATATGCTTTTTCCCCCAAAATTTTACTCCAAAAATGGGTTATTCTGGCTTTTTTCAATTAATCAGGAATTACGCTGATATTTTTTGTTTATTGATGAGAAATATATATCACAAGAAGCGTCCTACATAGCCCACCAAAGTTTAAGAAGGGTTAAATCTCCAAAAATTTGCGCAAATTGTTTAAAATTTATTTTTAAACAGAGATTCTGGGTTTTATATAGTAAAAATCACAATTATTGACAATCAAGTGAAAATTTTTTCATTTATACTGGTTTTTAGAGATTTAATCCTTCTTAAACTTTGTTGAGCTGCGTGAGACGCTTCCTGTGATATAATTTTCTCATCAATTAACAAAGTAGTTTCAGCGTAATTCTTGATTAATTGAAAAAAGCCAAAATGACCCATTTTGGGGTAAAATTTTTGTTGAGAATTTCGGAGAAAAAATGGCACCATATTAATTCTGGTGAAATTCTAAGCAACTTTTGTCCTCTTCACTTTTTGTCTAATCTTAACCCAATTTAAGAAAAACGCGTTTGAAAATTCAAGTTTTGTTCGTTTCGTCCGGATAATTTGAATCAGCACTGTATATCCCCCTCATTTTCATCTTGTTATTTAATTTCGACCATTTTGGGTATATATTATGCACATGCTTCGATTCGTTCAATTCTGACAAATATTTACTAAAAAAATATTTACCAGCTTATAGGACGTTCGATTTTGGGCTGTGCCAATCATTCTAACTCGAATCACTGCTGTTTCAAGCCAATTTAAAACGTGAGTATACTTCGGTATAAACTTTCAATAATTTGGTTTGAATATTTTGCAACTTGTATTTTAGCCTTTCTTTTCACTTAACTTAGAAACAACTCCTTTTTATCCTATTTAGAATCTATTTCTACAACAAAAACAACATGCCGTATCAAAACATCTGGCTGCTCAACCTTGAGGGGGTTTGGCCCGAGGCGGACCCCTTCTTTTGGTTCATTCAACCTCAAAAAAAGGAATTCCCAGTCAGAGTCCTTAACATCCGCGCGGCAGCACGCTTGGGAGACAAAAAAACGAGTTTGACGTGTTCCCTTTGTGGATCACCTTCTTTCGGGACGGCCAAGAGGACGTCGCTGCGCTGAATCCGGGGAGCCCCGTCGCCCAGGAGTTAATGGGCCAGTTACGAAAGTGGGCCAAAAAGTTGGGCTCAAGTCAGAAAGAACTGGCGGGCGACATTGGTGAGGTCGGGTCACTCGTTGACCTGGCCTCCGAGTCTTGATGCTAAATCGTAATTGTATATATATATTCAGATTCAATTTACTTATGAAGCTGCGTTTTCCGGCTATATGAGTTTAGGTACAATCACACATTCTACACTGGGAGCGAGGTTGTTCTGGAGCCTGGTAAACGGTATTAACATCCAGGTCTCACCAGATTTAAAATTGAATTTGAAAAAAATTACTGATTGGACTAATGCAAAGTCCAATTATTCCTGATTGGCCCAATACAAAGTCATTGCAAAATGTTGCTTCCAGTAGCTGGATCCTGGCCGACAAGATAACGCTGACTAGTTCAACAGTAATTGCCATACTTTGGTGTATGATCTAAATAGTGTGATCTGAAGAGTCATTACAAATAGTGTATTCTAATAGACTGCTCTCACGAGGTGTGTCAGTATATGCAGTCTTCAGACTACTCAAGAATCAACCAAAAATTGTGATTGTGAAACACGTTGCCGTAACTAAATTTGTTCGTTTTAGCTTTGGCTATTTTGTTTTCTCGGAGTTGGGATAGCAGGTAACTTAGTAAAAATTGTCTACGCTGCGGTCGACTGAAAACGGAACTTTCTAGTTGCGAAATGTGCATTTCTGTGATTTAGGGCCGTTTTTTGGTTTTTTTGCAGCAAAACTGGCAGCTGAGGTGAGTTTTCTGACTATCGTTTAGAAGTTTCCCATGTCTCAAGCTTTGAAGCAATTTTTTAACAAATCATGACGAGTTTGAAGAAAAATTACGTCAAAACAAACCTTCCAATCTCAAGAAAAAATCAAATCAATGTTGCAAGAAAACCCTGCGCTAGCCACAGAGAGTATGAAAAAAGCGCAAAACTGACAGACCGTAACATTAAAAACAGTACAAAACTGACAAAAATTGACTTTATTGTGTTTCTGTTGCCTTCATTGTTTTTAATCTGGATGATTATGAAGCTTAGGAAAGACTTGAAACAGCCCGGCCGAAAAATTGTCTTTTGATTACTTACCAGTGAATTTTTTTTAATAACCTCAAAATCATGGATAAACTTTGAAATTTCACAACAAGCACCAGGCATAGGAGTCTCATCCAATTCCAATGAAAATATGCTGCTTCAACCTGACTACGTATGTTTTTAGGGCTATCAGCCGAATGCTAAGAATAACTGTTACAATCAATTTGACGCTCTGAGACAGTTCAAATACACTGGCTTGTCGTACAAGACTTGGAAAGTAAACAAGTAGTTAAATGACCACAAAAAAGCACAGGAGCTAAATCATAGTGAACAAAAATAGTCTAATTTTATACGGATCGGGGGAAACATGCGTGAAAATGGAAAATCAACTCTGAGACAACTATCTACTTGAGTGTCCAGAGGAAGTTTTCTATGTCTCGAGCATTGAAGCAGTTTTTCATTGATATGGAGACTGAGGAGACATAACTTCCAAACAGTTCTACATAATCTTTCCAGTAAAATTGAAGTAAATGTAACAAGATAACCCTGCGCTAGCCCCCGAAAATATGAAGAAAGCAGAAACGGACAGATAGTCACGAAGAAAACCGTCCAAAACTGGTGAAAACTATATCACAATTCAAGTTGCTGGGTTTCTGTGGATTTCATAGGTTTCATTATCCATTACAAGGAAGCTCAGGAAAAGCTACACATACTCCGGCTGATTAATTTTAATTAGTTCGTATCTAAATGCTTTTTTTTTCTTCATTTAATTTTTGACAAGTGAAAATTCATTTAGTCTATTTAACATCCTTCAAATCGGGGCTCAATTTACACACTCCAAAGAAAACAGCAGACAAAGCAGTTTTAGTCTATTTCCAAGAATACATAGGTCACTTAGAATTGGCCACGTAAGAAAATGTTTCTGCGGATATCGACCGATTGCAAAGAATAATTGATACAAACAATTTTGAGGATCACAAATGGGAAAAATACTCAGGGTTGTCACACAACACCTGGAAACGAAAAAAGGAGCTAAGTGACCACAAAAATAACAAAGCTTAGAAACGGCTAAAAACCTCTCGGCCAAATAATTGTCAACTGTTCCTCTCTAATTGATTGTTTCTGTCTTCTGGGTTAATTTATTAAAAATTACAATTTCATTCAGTTAATTTAACAATCTTCAGATATTACCACGTATATAACCACTTTTATTGGGATCTCCACCGAATGTTAATTGGAAATGATACAATCCGGTTTTGATGATCTGGGATGGTTCAAATACGTTGGCTTGTCAAACAAAATTTGGAAAATAAACAAGTAGATAAGTGACCACAAAAAAGCACCGGCGCAAAATCACAGTGAACAAGAATACTCTTATTTAAGACGGATCGCTGCTCAGCATGACTGGTATGTTCCAGGAAACAATGAGTAGTGTTCTAAAAACAGGTTGTAATTGTATTCATACGGTTGTCTGTGAATCCAACTTTTAGACAAGATCGTGCAAAACACGCGTGGAAATGAAAAACTAACTGTCAGACGACTATCTACTTGTTATCCGAAGTAAGTTTTCAATGTCTCGAGCTTTGAAGCATTTTTTCATTGACATTGAGACCGAGGAGAGATAACTTTTAAACAGTTCTACAGTATGTTTCAAGCAAAGTTCAAATCAATGTTGCAAGAAAACCCTGCACTAACCGCAGACAGTATGATTAAAGCAGAAAAAGACAGATAGTCACAAAGAAAACAGTCCAAAACTGGTGAAAACTAAAGCACAATTGACTGCTGTGTTTCTGTGCTCTTCATTGTTTTGATTCTCGAATACAATGAAGCTTAGGAAAAACTACAAAGATTACGGCCAATTAATTGTAATTTTTTCGCATCTAATTGGTTGTTTCTTTCTTCTCTATTTAATTTTGACAAGTGAAATTTAGTTTATTTACTATCTTTCAAATCGTGGCTAAATTTAAACAACTCCAGACAAAGCATTATTAGTCAAATTCCAATAAAACATATGTCACTTCGAATTGGCCACGTAAGCATATGTTTTTGGGGATATCGACCAATTTCTAAGAATGATTGATGCAATCAGTTTTGACTGTCACAAATTGGACAAATACGCTGGGTTATAACAGAAAACAACAGTAATCAAAAAAGCGAACGAATTCATATCTTTCAAGTTTGGAGATGTACATTTTCTCGACATAATGAAATTTCTGGGTGGAGCAATTACTCTGGGATCTTTTGACGCTCTGACGATGTTATTCTATGTAGCTATATTTGCACTTATGTTATTTTGGGAAGGTTATGTTATTCTGTGCTTTTCTTAAACTTTAACAAACTTTATTTCTTGAATGATTAGTATTTTTGCGGTTGAAATGTTTAATTTAATTTCATTTAGCAATACCTAAATAAGTGATATTCACTTCTTGTTTTACTTTTCAACAAGTGTTCTCCTAAATGAAAAATAGCATAAAAAAATTCTCATAACTAATTAAGAAGTTCCAATTTAAAATCAAAAACTTATCATCAATTACACAGGAACACTTCGAAACGGTTCAGTGTTGTTTTATGAACAAAATAGATTTTTACTTTCCCCTGAGAAAACGGCAAACATGAACGAAGAGTCATAAAAGCACAAAAACTGATTAAATACTCAGAACTTAAACGTAAAAAATAAGCGAGAACACCTTATGTTACTTATAGCAAAACCCAACAGAATCGATATTTGTAATAAAATATACGGTAAAATTTTAAAAACAGCGAATAACAGCGCAAGATGTCCGTTTACTTTTTCCGATCTTTCAAAGTCGTATTACGATTTCAGAAAAATTTATTCCAAATGTAAAAAAGGCTACAAACTGATAGCGCCAATTGAAAAAGTAAGCATCTAAATTGAAATAAATTCAGGTTCAAGTATAACACGTTTTCTGCTTCCGAAATGCCATAAAGCTTAACTTCATAGCAGTTCCGCCAAAACATCGGACACTGTAAATACTCGATCGTTGACTGCGATTGTTTTGAATCATGTTTGACAATTAATTCTTCCAGCATAAAATTAATTCAGCTCTGAAATTTGACTGCACTGGAATATTTAGAAAAATGAAACTTAATCAACCTGAAATGCAAAATGAATGATTTTAATTTTGAGCGATCAAAATTTGCACAGTCCAAAGCCCATACTAATATAGGTTTATAGTAATGAATTTCTCCAAATATCCTAAATCAGTACGAAGACAGTAATTTCTCGTTGAAGGTCACTGTCATTGGCAAAAATTGTTCAGATTTGTGAAAGGAGAAAAAATTTCGGACATTCACTTAATAAAGATCTGGTTATAGTTTGATATGAGGATAGAAACGATAGATTTCTGAAGAGGCAACTCCATCAGGCTCTTGAATGTCTCTGCGTCTGGACTTCGCATCAAAGTTGGTCCAAAAACAGTTCCCAAGTTGTCCGCTCCCATTTTATTTGACTTCTGCTCCAAGCTAACTTCGTGCAGATGTTTAATTATGAATTGTAACGTAGCCTGGTGACATGGATTCATTGCTTGTACTATTTCTTTTATTGCTTTCACGCACAAACTTTCGTCCGTTGCTTTCATAGCTTCAATCAATTGAGGGTATGTGTTGAAATCGATAACTGGAACGGGCAATGACCTGAGATAGAGCTTCAGTGCTCCTGTAATGGAATTTATATCGGCAAAAAAAGTCCAATCTACCCTCGCGTCAGGTCCATTTCGTTCAAAGTTCTCCTTCAAAAGTTCAATATCATCACTGAATCCTGATATTCTATAAAGACCTTCCGCTTTCAGATCCCGATTCTCCACTTCATCTATACATTTTGTAACTACAAAGGGTACATTGGATGAATACGCCATGCAAAGAACGGTGAGGTCGCAACCAAAGATCTGTTTGATTCGCTTCTTTGTCGGAACACAGTCGTGTCGATCTTCAAACTTCTTACTGCACAATTTGTGAACATTTAGACCACAGTCTTGACATTTGACTCCTTGTGATACCAGACCCCACATGTAATTTCCACACCATTGACACCAGTGTGGTCCTTTGAACGTCGTCACTTTGAAGTTGTGCGCCTTCGGAGCGATTGCCGACATGTCACTTGCAGCTGACATATCTGCTTGAAGCAGAGGATGTAAATTTAAATTATCTCCGCCGGGGAAAACAGAAGTCTGATTGATTGAACTGTTATTATGTGAATGGGAGTCTAACGCGTCTACAATAGATGACGAAATTGTGTTCAGTGTGCTTTCGATGGCAGCGGGATTGGAGTATATTTTGTTCACGTCGTCGTAGATAGGTTGTGCACTCATAGCTTCGATGTGTTCGCGACCGCGGGATTCCACGTATAATGTAATCAAACCATCCGCCACTAACTCCTCAAGAGTATCGTACTCCTTAGTGTCGATAAAGTGAGTTCCGTTGTAATATATTCTGTAGTTTTTCACAGACCCGTCTAGCAGAAACACTAATGTATAGGTCCCCGGTTGCCTTTGACTTTCCCTGATGAGGTAACTTCCTTCAGGTCCTTTCGTGACCAGAGCATTACCGGCTTCCCTGGAAATGGGACCGTGGCAGACATTACCATAGTGCTCCGGGACATTTTGGATGTAGTCTTTACAGACTATTCTGTAGGGTTTGGGCGCTTGCTGTTCAAGTTTGTAGAGATAAGGGTCAAAGAGATTGCCCAAATTGTTGTTTTCATTGACAGAGCCAGCCATTTTACCTGAAAAGATAAATTCTCGAAGTGATAATGATAAAATCAGACCAACTTGAAAATCGGCATGTTGTAATTGTCTTCAAACATTCGAGGAGCTCGAAAAGTCATGCAACAGCAAATCACGACTTCTCATAAGATCACAAATATTCATGAAAATTTCATAAATCGATTCATCCTAGTTTATCGACTGCGTGTTTAAAGCGTTGGTTTATTTTTCAAAGGAGAAAGAAAAAAGACAAGCAACAATAATCATGTGCTGCAAAGACAAAGAAAAACATATGAAACCCTTGATCATTGCGACGTTAGCCATTCACTGCTGTGGGATTGTGTGTCAATGCTTGGCCCACATCAATGACAATGGGCTATGGGACACTAAAAACTCTGTGGTGGGCCGAGTTCTGCTTATTGGTGCAAACATAGTTTCCCTTGCTCTGTTCACTTTATTGTTGATTTGCCTTCTCTGTCGGCCAAAGAAAAAGATAAAAGAACGACTAGCTTTAGTGATCGGCTTAAGTTTCGCATTCATCATTTTCTATATGCTAATATTCGCTGCCTTTTTCGTTGGTCTGTGTCACGATAAAACACCCTGGCCTCTAGTTATGATTTATATATCTTGGTTTATTGCCAATGTCGTGGTGATCCTAATTTTCGTTTTGCTAATGTTTGTTCAGGAATTAGAGGGCTATGGAATAAGCAAGGCGGAACCACCGAAATCTACAGTTATGAAATCGTCAATCAAGAAATCGAAAAACACAGGCACGTAAAACACTTGAGCCCCAAAACAGTCCAAAAACCGAACGTAAAAGAAACAGTAGTGTCAGGAAAAAAAATTTAAAATTTATTTGGAAAAGAAACAATTTTTGAAATGATTTTGATTGGTTTTTGTAACTAATAAACAAGTGAAAAAAAACTCTTTTTCAACATATCTTCGAAGGGTTGGAAAATGAAACAAAAAAAATCAGTTGTCGAATTACAAACATAATGATCAAATATTGACCGTTTTGTGTCTCAAAATAGGTAAAACCAAACCCAAGTCTACCGCATATTCTGCTAGCAAAGTTCGAAGCCAACAATCCTCTCCTAATTCGACGGCAAAGACACCTCCATATACAAGTATGGCTCCCCCTCCCCCACGATACAGTCAGATCAATAAAACACTGAGTGAACGAAAGAAATAGTGGATGGTAGATCTATGACCCAAATACATGAAGGAAAAGCCCTCAAACTAACACAACCCAAATTTAGCTATCAAAAACTACCAATGGCACCATATCAAACAAATAACTGGATGACTTTTAATAAACGTTGATTCTCGTTCAGAAAATTAGTTTTAATTTCCATGAATAACAAAAACTACTGATGCTTCTGCTTTTCCTTATGAAAAACAAAATAAAAAATTTGTACTTTGAAAACTACCAAGAGAAAATAAAATCCGAATTGAGCTCTGATTACTTGTTAGATAAAACCTATTATATCAACTGAAACCCTTTCTGAAATTTGAAAATCAAGAATTAATTTAATTAGGAGTATCTCAAATCGAAGCAAAATATGTGTTGTTAACGTTATTGTTAAAAAAACAGCACTGAATGTCATCAATGATCATTTCAATGAAAGAAAAAATACAGAAACTTAAAAAAAATCGATTAAAAAGAATCAGTTCTTGCAAAATTAAGAGGAGGCAATTTTCAGCCCTCTGAAATAATTTTTATTATAGCCTGAAGGAACGAAGCACTGTGTCGAATAACCCGACAACAAATGAGTAGAAATTAGAAAACTTAAGGCTGACTTTCGAATTAAAGAGAAAAAACAGAATAGAAAGATAACGAAAACAGATTTTAAGAACAATAAAAAAATTCAAAACATGTCCATAATATCCAAAACAAAATTACCTTCAACAATAAAAACTTTACAAGGAGCTTTCGGAATGCTAGAGAGAAGTCTTTCTGCGAGAACTAAACTGAGAAAAATAAGCAGACACAAAATAATTTAGAATAGCCGAGAAGTTTCAGTTTGCAAAAAAAAATCAAGACTGAAATCGAACTTCCGGGCTTTGTCGTCCCAAGCCTAAATGATACAGCAACTTGAAAAAAGCTGAAAATTCAAAAAATCTGGTTATGTGAACTAAACCGACAAAAATAAAACCAGACGACGATAGTCCGAAAAAGCACAAAAACTCTAGTGCTTGCTTGTAAGTACGCTTCGAGTGGGGCAAGTGAGAACGCACGATTCACCTCTGCCCGGCCAAAGACAGGCACGGGTCACTGGAACGGAGGGGTACGAGCCGAGGCCAGCGAGCACTCAAATCGCCCAGAGGCCAACTGAGTGGCGAAGACCCAGCCAGTCGGAGCACCTCTTACAAAAAACTTATGGCGAGAACCTCCACAGGTTCGAAAGTGGTCGGACTTATTGTTGCTAACTCGGGACTCGCCCATCTGGGTCAGCAACTCTTGAGGGCTGGAGACGTGGAACAAAATCCAGGGCCCACGTTTTGTGGAGCATGCAACAAAAGAGTAACAAGCAATAGCGTAAAATGCACATGGTGTGCACAATGGATACGAGGATGCAGCAGCCTATACCGCAAAGGTATCCAACATTTAGCTAAAGCCAACAGATATACTTTTGAGTGTTCAAAATGCAGTAGTTCTGCTCAATTCCGGCAGAGAGTTTCTGCAGGTACAGACGAGGGGAAATCATTCCTGCGACACCCCCGCACAGGAGCCGAAAAAAAACAAATAGAACAAAAAGGGGAAAGGAGCGAACCAGCTCCCTGGCCCCAGCTCGACCAGGAGATTTCGGAGGGTAAGACGAGGGGATTAATAACCTCCGTTGCCGCCGTGCAGCACCCGAAGATGTCAAACGAGCTCCCGAATAAAGAGGAACAGATCAAAAGTCTCTGACCCCATCTCGGACAGCATTCAGCATTGGGAAAAACGAGGGGCAGAAACGGTTGTGAAATCCCCGCACAACAACCAATCTTGATAAAAGACAGACGAAGGGAAATCAAAAACAAAGGGAGGAAAAATAAGACGCCCCCTGAAGAACACCGCGAAGCCCGTAGAGAAAGAAAAAGGAAAGAGGTAATATCTAATGTCCTGACATGGATGACATGCAACACAGTGATAACCACATGAAACCTGTAAGAAATTTCAGTCCAAGAAAGAAATAGAAACAGACTGAAAATAGTTTGTGGAAGGCAAAAAGTGGAAGGCAAAAAGTTCCCCATACTAACGTATGTGGAAGGCAAAAACTGGGAGATAATCCTAATAACTGAGCTCCGGGCAAAAACGCAAGGACTAAATTGGCTTGGAGAAATAGGAAACTAAACAGTCATTATTCACCCACAGCGCAGTGGAACGATACTCAGGGGTGAGGCGGTCAAATCCTGGATAGAGGAAGGCCACAACAAAAGTTTCTTGGAACGTGCTACCGCCGTCGAAACACACAGCATGAAAATTGTGTCTGTGTACCAACCTCTCTGGAGCAACGGAATTGATGAACTAGAAGAAAACAGACCCTGCCTAGGCAAGAAAATAGCTAGAACCCCAAAGTCCCAGGTATTAAAACTTGGTGGGGATTATAAGGCTCACATTGTAAGGGAAAGGACTAGTGAAACAAATGGTAGGTATGGTCTCACGACTGGTGCGTAGTTCACAATCTCCAATGGGTGCACTCTTTTTCAAACATAAGAAAAAAAAGGTATGCCGGTGGTAGGAAATGGATGGATTCCTTATACGAGGGAGAGACACTAACTTGTGAGAAAGATACGCATAACTGATGAGTTAACGTTATCAGACCACAAACCAATATCTCTATACCTAAGATTCCCCAAGAGGTCCAGGCCAAATAGGGTGGTGAGAAAACCAGCAATCAACTGGGGAAAATCTGCGTACCACGCAAACTGCCCATATTTTCCAGGAAAACGAGACAACCGATGTGGACGAAACAGCTCATGGAGCGAAATAGCGACATCATTAACTAAAGCGGCTTTAAGGTCTGCGGAAAGAAAACCAGACAAGCAGCTAATCCGTGGACAATATGTTACAAAAATGAACTGTCCAATCTCTACAATACCATAGCTTCAGCTGTAAGGGAGAGGAACGAATCCTTGAAGCAAGACCGTCCACTCGTCTTTATAATGCGCATAAAGGACAACCTTAAACACGCAAGGGCGAAAATGAAGAAGCTCAAAGAATTCGAGCGGGAGTGGTGGGATAATATCCTAGAAGAATGCCAGTAGGCAAACATTAAACAATCGATATGAAGTTAACCCGCAAGTGTTAATGGAAACAGAATCAAAAATGGGAAATCACAGAACAGCCAAAAACTTCATTGAAGAAAAAAGTCTGCTAAATGAAACTTCATCAGACCTGGAATAACTGGAGTGCATCGAAGAAATAAGGGAATCCGCGCCTGGCAAAGATAACGTCCGAATCAAATATATCAAGTTAGCAAGTACCCATGTTCAACAAGCCATTATAGCTTCCATTAAAAAGAGCTCCAACATAGCGTGAAATCTTGAAGAAAGGCCAAATAGTACCCCTACAAGGTGGGAAAAATGATGTCAATAATTACAAAGGAGTATGTCTGGTGGCCATAGGTAGCAGGATCCTTGCAAAAGTAATGACGAAAAGACTAAAGGAAATGGACTGATTGCCTTAATCTTTTGGATGATAATCAGAGTAGTTTCCGGACCGGCAGATCAGCTGCAGACGCGACACAAATCTTGGTCCGAATTCCGGAAGACTCCGATGATCTCAAAAACAGAAGAGAAATCTGGAACCTGCCTCAAAGTGAACCAACCGATCCCGAAGCGAGGCTTCTGGACCTCAGTAAAGAGTATCCGAGAGTAAATAAACGCGCTCTCTGGGAAATTCTGCGTAATTGCGGGATAAAAGGACCTTTCATAGATTCCCTAGTAGAATCCCATGAGGCAACAAGTAAGCAAACTAAAGGAGAAGAAGGTAAAAGCGAAGAATGGAACCCTGAAAGAATATTAGGGGAA